AAACTTCTTAAAACTCAGACTTTTAAGGTATCTTTAACCTCTACCACAGCTTACTGTTTACATTAGGTAATGCTGAGCACACGCTAAGCTCCACAGGTAAGGCCTTTTTGGTTTATGCCAAAACACAATGCCCTTGGCTAAAGTCCTTGTTTAAAGAATGGTCATATGACCTAAGTAGTACAGGCAGTGTGAATCTTAGGTCTCTTGCTTTAAATACTGGGATAGAAGTACTTTCCCCACATGTATGAAACACAAGGAAAATAACTTTATCTGCTTCAAGCTGCCATCCTACCACAAGAGTTTCCATTTTAGAGTAAAGTCAATAACAACAGAGATTTTCTGAGTTTTACCCCTGGACAAAAGCTGCCCTTTTGATTTCATTTGGTTGACTGTTCTAAGGCATGCATACCTGGTACTATTCACCTTACAGGTCTGTCGACTGTTTGGCTGGAACTTGAGCCACTGTTGGAGCTCAGTTCCAGCTTGAAGGATAAAGCTCAGAAGGCAAGAATGGATAGGAAAGAAGGATGAATGGAAATGGGCAACACAGGAAGGAAATGGGAAGAGTGCTCTTACGTTGTGGGGATTGCAATCAAAATCACAAAATAAAATGTGTATGAACTGTTGAATGGAAAACCTATTTACTCTGTACTGTTTCACCCAAATCATTAAAATCTTTTGAAAAAGAAAGATTTTTCTAAATAATTAAATAATAATTAAATGGGTCCTTGATAATAACTGAATCCCAGGATTAACAACTAGATACATCTAGTAACCTAAGCCAATAAATTCCCTTAATGTTTAAATTAGTTTGAGTTGGATTTTTTTTTTTTTTACTTGCAGTATAATGTGTGAAGGAGAATAAAAATAAGTATCAAACTAGATGTGACGGTATTATAAACACAGCTGCTGCTGTTGTTGTTGTTGTTGTTAGGTACCCTTGAGTTGACCCGACTCATAGCAACCCCTCCTTGGGTTGCCAGGGCAGTATCACTAGGAAGTAGATTGCCCAACCTTCCTTCTGAGGAATGGCTGGTGGGTTTGAACCACCAGCCTTCTGGTTAGCAGTCAAGTGCCTTAGGCACAGCTACGAGGAAGTAAAAATGAAGTCTAAGATAAACAGGCTAGAAAGTTTGACCAAAAGTACAAATGTACAAAAACAAAACACCTAGAGAAGATGACTTAATGATCATCATACACGTGTAATTCTTAAGTATTTGATATAATTGCAGTCCCTCTCTGACTCAAATAAATTTATGTAATCAGTCACACCTCCATGCCTTCTCTCCTTGTCCTTGTACTGGCCTAGGAAACAGTGATATTTGTCCCTATTTTCATCTCCCTAAACTGGATGGAAGGAGCTCTGGTAGCATAGTGGCTAAAGCACTTGACTGCTAACCAGAAGGCTGGCGGTTCAAACCCACCAGCCACTCCTCGGAAGGAAGGTTGGGCAATCCTACTTCCGTAGTGATACTGCCTCGGAAACCCAAGGAGGGGTCGCTATGAGTGGGGCCGACTTGATGGCACATAACAACAACAACAACAAACTGGATGGAAATAGCAGCAGCTTTGATTGTCTGGTGAATCGACTTGCCTGCTCCATTCAGTGAGGTAAGAAGTTTGAGCCCACCTTGAGCGGGGCAGAGAGGGAGTTCTAAATTTCTTGTTATCATGTGCTGAAGACCCACAGAGCCTCTCTGTTCTGAGAAGTCACCCTAGATAAAATCTCAAGTCACCTTCCAGACCTTTAACAATCCCATCTCACAGGCAATCTGTCATTTATTCCTACTCATTCTGGGTTGAAAATATGTCTGGAATTCATTCCTTTCTTTTCATTTCCAAGGCTAATGCTCAAGGTCAGACCCTTATCAAATATCTCAACTACTGCAATTGTCTCTTAACCAGTCTTTTAGTGTCTTATCTCTCTGCCTGTCCAATTCATCATTATTTGGGCTATTATCTCCCAAAGAGAAAATAAGGACTGTATTTTGTTTATCTTTTGGGTCCTCTCCCCTTCCCTAAGTCCAGTCATTGAGATGTCTGTTAAATTAGTCTATGTAGGCTATTTCTCATTCGAAAAATAACTGATGGTACCCACTAAATTCAGAAAATGTTCAAAGAGCTTAGCCTGCAGCCAGGTCATCAAGGCTGTAAACGTACTCCCCTTCAGTATATTCCTCACCAGTTTCCCTTCTATGATGTCCCAGTCACACTCAACTGCAGAATAAAATATTCTGGAACACACCAAGCAACAAAGTCTTTATAAATGACATACTCTTACTCTGTAAAATGCACTTTCCCTTACCCTACTTATGAAACCAGTCCTTCAAGGTCCAACTTAAGTATCATTTCCACTACAAAATCTTCTCCAATGCTACTTTCAGATTAAATATCTTCATCCTCTATGCCTCTGCAGGACTTTCTCTGTATTTCTATTGAGCATTTATGGGATTTTTCCTGGTCAAAACTAAATTTGGCAAACATCTCTTTGTTTATTAAAATGCTTTCAAAGTACTGAGCAAGCAATGTGAATCTCAGTGTGTGATGGTCTTTCTTTTTTATTTGTCTATTTTTCTTCCATAAGATTTATCCTTGTATTCTCTGTAAATAACAAAGTGTATATAACACAATTAAAAAAAAAAAAAAACAACTCATTGCCATCGAGCCAATTCCAACTCAAAGCAACCGCTCCTTGGGCTTTCAAGGTGGTTATCTCTATGGAAGTAGATTGCCCAGTCTTCCTTCTGAGGAGTGGCTGGTGGGTTTGAACCTCCAGCCTTCTGGTTAGCAGTCAAATTTCCCAATGGACTACATGTTATTCGAGCACAAGTATCGTGCCTTATTCATTTTTATATCTCTGTGATCAGAAAGAACTGAGCAACAAAAACTCCTACAGACTGAGTAATACATTGAGTTTAGACTTTGACCCCTGAAGTATTTGGCTAAACCTAGGACACTTAGTCATTTCTTCACTCAAAAATGATTTATTGAACATCCTGTATAAGCCAAAACATATTCCAAGAGGGGTAGGTTCAGTTGTGAAAGTTTAAACCACACCTATGCTGAAGTAGAGGAAATGTGTAAGCAAATAAATTGGTACTGAAAAAAGTTTTTGGTAATGAATGAATTATATTTATATTCTCAGTCAGACAAGCTTGAAACTTGAGAGTCATCAGTGGCTTCACCCTATACTTTGCTTCAAATGTTATTTGACAAAATGTAAAATTGCTACAAGATGATGATGATGATGATGATGATGATTGCATTATCCTCCTCATCTTCGATTTCAATGCTTTTCCCTAAATTCAAGCCCTCGTTATGTCTTCTGGAACAACTAAAATTGCTTTTGAAATATTCCTTTCACTTTCATGCTTTCCATCCCTAACATTAACATTCAGTACAGCCAGAATAATCGTCTTAAAAAGCAATGCTATTACTGCATTTTGTTCTGCTCAAAAGCCCTCGATGGCTTTGCATTGCAGACACAGGGAGATACTATATACCCTTCCTCCTTATACTCAGTGTCTTCCAAAATCTGGTTCCAATCTATTTTTCCAGATTCATTTGTACTGTTCTTCCAACAAGCCAGACTCCCACTATATTAATTTTTGTGTCTTTGGACCTTTTACTTAGCATTTTCCCATCCTTTTTATTTAAATTCTACCCAAATCTCCAGGCCCAATTCAAGGATATTAAATTTGTCTCTATTTTTTACTTCTGGTTATGAAAGATAATATACTTTGTGCTTTATTGCCCTTAACTTTACCCATTTCTGCCTCATATTTTGGTTATTTACAAATAAAGTTTATGTAAGCAAACTGAAGAACATCTAGTCATTCATTCAATAAGCATTTAATAATCATTTATTGTCCAAAAGTACCTAAAACATGTCATTTTTCATATTAAATAAAGTTTTGTTGAGTGAAGGCAAACTCCCAGTTTAAAGAAATATACCCCAAATTAGAATAATCTTTTTCTAAATATGAACAGTAATTTCCACCAAAGAGATATATATAAGAATGGTAGCAAACTGCTGCTTTTCATATATGAAATGATTTTGAAGAGATAGATAAGTTAGTAGAAAACAATTCAATGAAAAGCTAAAAAAACTTACTGAAAGTAATCTGGAAATACTGATTCCATCTTGGCCAGTTTAATTCATGGTGTATGTATCATTTTGAGATGCAAATTCATAAATGCACATGTGTTATGTTCAATGATTGGAAATAGAACTGTGTCAAAATGTATTGAAATAAGAATCAAAAGGAAGTTTTCCTAGACACCATTTAATAATTTCTGTGGAATTTAATAAAAATTTATGTGATGAAATATTTTTTCTTTTTATTTTCCTAAGGAAACAGCTTTGTATGATGATTGATGCCTGCTATTACGGGTCTATATTTATATTTTCTCATTTTGGAAGCTTTTCAAAAATACAAAAATATACTTTATAAGTCAAAGCATTTCCAGTTTACACTAGGAAAAAAGATAAAAGGTGATTATTTATAGGCAATGTTATTCATGATGATAGACTCTCAGAAGGCAACTGCAAACATAAATTGTAAATGCTTTTTGGAGAGAGTTGAGAATAAAAACATTTACATAATTTCTTAGAAACCCTGGCTTTTTATTGCTGCACTTCCAATATTCCCTCCAGGCAAAGGAGCAGCTACTTCAAAGATTTATTTGATAATGGGATGTTTGATTTCTTTGTCTTCCCTTCCCAATGTGGGTAGGTCCATTGTTTTCATTCAACAGCAACTGTACCATAATTTAAAATCTGAATTGGCTCACTACTGAGACTAAAAAACGGTTTTGTTTTGGCAGATTGAACAAAGAAACCGATGATAGCACCAATTATCTACATAAATAAATTATATAAATATTCAATGTTATTATAAAATGGCCCATCCACTTATCAGTCATCTTCCATAACAAGCCTGCCATATCATGAAAATGTAGGTAGTGACTGATACCAAGTGTCTAAAGCTTAAACTTACCTGCCTATCTACTTCTGGGAGCAAAAGCAGGAGGTATTGTTGGAAATGCTGAGGTAAGGAAGCAAATGTGTGTTTGTTTATCAATGCTCTCAAATTAGTGTTGACAAGAATAGATCCTGGAGTTTCTATGTCAATGTCCTCAGCTTTGGTCCATTTCAAGTGTCCTGTGGGAAACAAGCAAAAGGTATGAATTTACTGCAGATTGAGGAAACTAAACACACATACACATATATAGTGAACAATATGTTTAATTCTACCCCTTTGGAGAGTTCAAAATGGAACTCTCCAAAGCTTCTTTCATTATGTTTTTATCTTGCCTTAGTTAGCTTCAATTTTCATAACATATATTTTATTCTACATTTTAATTCAACCTAGTACCAGGTCTAGATAAAGAAGTACTTTAATTAAAATCTTTCAATTAATCAGAGTTTTCAAAACTTTGGAAGCACAAACTATAACAGCTACAACTTATGTAGATTCTATGATCACTGGTAACACTAATAAAAATGGTGCTGCTAATTTTAACAAACATAAATGATGGTAATAATAACTGTGCATTTCTCATCTGCCAGGTAGTGGACTAAGGACCAAAAGATTCTCATTCAGGTTATTTCTGAGGGTGCTAATTTTAAAAAAAGCAATCTTTTAAAAAGTATTACTTGTAAGGCCTGAAATAAGTTCTGAAGGATAATTCCACAATTGAAGGCACAGTGGCCTCCAACATAAAGGTATATGTTGAATTCACAGCTCAAAACTATGACACACAAGAAAATAATCTGGTGAATTACCATTTTCAGTTATTTGATCTAAGAGAATCACTTGAATGAGAGTATTATAGTGTATGCTTTAAGTCAGTGATCAGTAAATTATGTCCCATGAGCTAAATCCAGCTCAACACCTACTTTGGTAAATAAAGCTTCTGTGGAGCACAGACATGTCCAAGGTTTACATACTGTCTATGTTTGTTTTTGCATTACAGTGAGGAGTTAAATACTTGTGACAAATCATAGGGCCAGCAAAGTCTAAAATATCTGCTCTCTAGTCATTGACAGAAAAAGTTTCCTGACCTCAATTTTGGATTATTAAAAACAAGAGAAGGAATGAAAAACATTATGAAAAAATATAGGACACTGAAAAAAGAATAGGCAGATTGAAAAGAAAACTAAATCAAAATTCTAGATAACGAAATTCATTGTTCACAAATCTAAAGAAGGCATTCAGAAAAAGCTGCTTACTGTATGATTCCAACCTTACAACATTCTGGAAAAGGTAAAACTAGAGAGATAGTAAAGAGATGGGTGATTTCCATGGGTCCAGGAGAGGAGGAAGGGATCAAAAGGTGAAGCACAGGCATTTGCAGGACAATGAAACTGTTCTGTACGGTACTATAATGGTGGATATATGATATTATACACTTGTCAAAATTCACAGAATTATACAATAAGAAAGAATTCTAATGTAAACATGTTCATAACTATGTATCAAAATTAGCTAACTCATTGCAAAAACAGATACTTGAAAAGATAAATAAAAAAATAGCATTAAAAAGAACAAAGATGGAGAAGAAATAGGGAGTATAACAAGCAACCAGAATACCTATCTAACATATTCTAATGTTCAGAACCAAACAACAAAACACCAAGGATGGTAGATAAATAAATATTTGAAGAACTAAAGTTTGGAATTTTCTTAGACTAGAAAAAATGATGCAAATCCTAAGATAAAACAAAATATCACATCTTAAAATAAATACATTTCCTATATCTGCTATATTGAAACCTTAAAACACCAAAAAATAAAAATATCGTACAATCATTTGAACAGATCATAGATTATTTCCAAAGGGATGACGATGAGATTGACAGAAACCTTATTAGCAAAAAAAATAATACAAGATAATAGGATATTATCAAAAGGCCAAGAGAAAGTTAAGTGTCAATCTAGAATTTCATTCATAACTATGCCACTCAAAAATGAGAAGGACTTAAGAACATTTTCACTGTTTCAAATTCAAACTCAATACCTTAAAGAATTTTGCAGAAACAATCATTAGTGGATGTTCCTGAAAAATAAAAAAGTTAAATCAAGGAATGAGTGGATTGCAAGAAACAATGCCAAACAGACAGGAATAATTCCAAATAAATACTGTCTGTAAAAAAATAATGACTAATGTTGTTGTTATTGTTAGGTGCTGCTGAGTCAGCTCTGACTAATAGCGACCCTATGGACAACAGGACAAACCACTGCCCAGTCCTGTGCCAGCCTCACAATCCTTGCTATGCCTGAGCCCATCATTGCAGCCACTGTGTCAATCCATCTCACTGAGGGCCTTCCCCTTTTTCACTGACCATCCACATTACCAAGCATGATATCCTTCTCCAGGGAATGGTCACTTTTGACATGACCAAAGTAGGTGTGACTTCTGGCCATTCTGCCTTCCAAGGAGCATTCTGGCTTCACTTCCTTCAGGACTGATTTGTTTGTTCGTCTGTCAGTCCATGGTACTTTTGGGATTCTTCGCTAACACCACAACTCAAAAGCATCAATTTTTCTTTGGTCTTTCTTATTCAATGTCCAGCTTTCACGTGCATATGAAAAGATTGAAAATACCATGGCTTGTCTTAGGCACATCTTGGACTTCAAAGAGACAGCTTTGCTCTTCAACACTTTAAAGAGGTCTTTTGCAGCAGATATGCCCAGTGCAATACGTTGTCTGATTTCTTGACTGCTGCTTCCATGGGTGTTGATTGTGGAACCAAGTATTATGAAATCTTTGACAACTTCAATCCTTTCTCCATTTATCGTGATGCTTCTTCTTGGTCCATTTGTGAGGATTTTAATTTTCTTTATGTTGAGGTGCAATCCATACTGCAGGCTATACTCTGTAATCTTTATCAGTTAAGTGTTTCAAGTCATCTTCACTCTGAGCAAGCAAAGTGTGTGGTTGTGTGGTCTGTGTATCACAGGTTGTTAATGAGCATTCTTCCCATCCTGATACTGCGTTCTTCTTCATATAGCCTGGCTTCTCAGATTATTTTCTCACCACACAGATTGAAACAGTATGGTGAAAGGATCCAATCCTGATGCACTCCCTTCCTGATTTTAAACAGTGCAGTACCCCCTTGAGCTGTTCAAATGACCGTCTCCTGGTCTATGTACAGGTTCCTCGTGAGAACAATTAAGCATTCTGGAATTCCCATTCTCAATGTCATCCATAATTTGTTATGATCCCCAGAGTTGAATGCTTTTGCACAATCAATAAAATACAAGTGAACATCCCTCTGGTATTCTTTGCTTCCAGCCAAGATCCATTTGACATCATCAATGATATCCCTCATTCTACATCCTCTTCTGAATCTAGCTTCCATTTCTGGAAGTTCTCACTCAATATATTTCAGCAACCGTTTCTGAAAGATCTTCAGCAGGATTTTACTTGTGTGTGATATTAATGATTTTGTTTGGTAATTTCCACATTCTGTGGGATGACTGTTCTTTGTAACGGATATAAATATAGATCTCTTCCAGCAAATTGGCCAGGTAGCTGTCTTCCAAATTTCTTGGCACAGACAAGTGAATGCCTCCAGCATGGCGTGCATTTGTTGAAACATCTCAATGGGTATTCTATCAGTTCCTGGAGACTTGCTGTTTACCAATTCCTTCAGTGCAGCTTCAACTTCTTCCTTCAGTACCATTGGTTCTTGATCATATGCCACTTCTTGAAATGGATGAACATCAACCAATTCTTTTTGGTACAGTGATTCTGTGAATTCTTTCCATCTTCCTTTGATGCTTCCTGCATCATTCACAATTTTGCCCATAGAAACTTTCAATATTGCAACCCGAGGCTTGCATCTTTCCTTCACTTCTTTCAGCTTGAGAAATGCAGAGCACGTTCTTCCTTTTTTGTTTTCTAACTCCAAATCTTTACACATTTCATTGTAATAATTGACTTTGTCTTCTTGAGCCACTCTGACATCTCTTCAGCTCTTTTATCTTGTCATTTCTTCCATTTGCTTGAGCTACTCTTCACCCAACAGCAAGTTTCAGAGTCTCTTTTGACATACATTTTGTTCTTTTCTTCCTTTCCTGCCTTTTTAATGACAGTTTGCTTTCTTCATGGTGATGAAGAATGATGTTATTGATGTCATCCCACAATTCATCTGGTCTTCGGTCACTGGTATTTAATATATCAAATCTATTCTTCAGATGGTCTCTACATTCAGGTGACATATAATCAAGGTCACATTTTGGCTCTGGGCAACTTGTTTTAATTGTCTTCAGCTTCAACTTGAACTTGCATATGAGCAGTTCATGGTCTGTTCCACAATCAGCTCCTTCACTTGTTTTGGCTGAAGATACTGAGCTTCTCCATTGTCTGTTTCCACAGATGTAGTCAATCTGATTCCTGTGTATTCCATCTGGTGATGTCCATGTGTATAGTCACCATTTATGTTGTTGAAAAAGATGTTTGCAATGAATAAGTCATTGGTCCTCAAAATTCTATCATGTGACCTCTGGAGTCATTTCTATCACCAAGGCCGTATTTTCCAACTACTAGTAATTCTTGCTTCCAACTTTTGCATTCCCATAATCAGTAATGATCAATACATCTTGATTGCATGTTTGGTCAATTGCAGACTGCAGAAGTTGCTAAAAATTCAATTTCCTTGTCTTTGGCTTTGGTGGTTTGTGGGTAAATCTGAGTAACTGTACTATTAACTGGTCTTATAGGCATATAGATATGATCCTATCACTATAGTGTTGTACTTCCAGATAGATCTTGAAACGTTTTTTGTGACCATGCATGCCACACCATTCCTCTTCAATTTGTCATTCCTGGCATAGTAGATCATGTGGTTATCTAATTTAAAAATGGCCAAAACCAGTCCAATTCACCTCACTAATGCCTATGATATCAATCTTTATGTGTTCCATTTCATTTTTGACAACTTCCAATTTTCCTAGACTTATAATGGTTGTTTGCAGCTGTTTCTTCTTATTTTGAAATATCATCAGGAAATGAAGGTTCCAAATACTTTACTCCGTCCACATCATTACTGTCAGCTATATACAATAAGGCAATCCTTGCCCAGTTGTGTTTTGAGTACCTTCTGACCTGAATGGCTTATCGTCCAGCACTATATTAGACAATGTTTCCAGGCTA